CCCAGCAGGTTAGACAGCTCTTTAGGAGCCAGAGTCATGATGCTGAGCCACTGGATCAACTGCAGAGACACACATGAGGACAGAGGAGCAAAAACATGAGTCTGCTGCAGATGCAGTAACACAGCACAGTGCAGCAGATGCTGACACAACACGATCTAAACATCAGTCGCACCTCTAATACCAGATGAGATGATCCAAACATGCATTATGCAATGCAACACTCTCAGACTAAAAGGTACAAAAGCTGTCACTGGAGCAGCACACTTTTGTACCTTTTAGGAACTAAACATAATAAACAACAACAGGTACTAATATGGACACTTTAGGTGCACATTGCTCCTGTGACAGCTTTTGTACCTTTTCTTCCCGAGTGAGTGAGAGCTGGAGAAACAGAGGCTCCTCAGAAGCTGTGAGATGCTCTGCAGGCTTGAGAAGAGCATTCCTCCGCTGAGGACCAGTGCAAGTCAAGCTGAGCTGCTGCAAGTGTTCATCTGGAGATATTACATAGCTGTAAAGATTAGACAGCAGTGAACACCTGAGAGGACGTCATTTATCGGCTCATGAATATTTAATTAGAACAGACGCGGCGTGACGTTTACATGAACGATTACACCGCTTGATATTTCAATCATTTGGCTCTTTCTGTTTTGATCTGCGCTTCCGCTGTCCGTGAGCACTTCCTGTGCGGGGCACGGAATCATGGGAGATGTAGTTCAACACGGAAACCAAATCGTGCTCCGCCTTGAATGTTACCCATAATCCCCCGCTCTTCCTTTCGCACAGTCTCCGCGCAGGGTGAGTATCTTCCTCTCGGCTGCTCTGCACAAATCCGGCATCATCCGCGGTATAAATGGCTTATAGTTCCGCTTAGCGTCTCATCTGAGAGCAAAGGCAGCTTATCTAGCGATGCGACGCGGTTTGTCGCGTTTAAAACGCCGATGTGCGTGATTAAACACTCGATGCGAGTAAAGCCGTGAAGCAGCGCTCTACTCTGATCATACCACGGTGAACACAGTATTACACGCGCGGCGAGGCGAGGCGAAGTGTAGTTTATGAACGGTCAGCATTTAAATGATGGACACAGAATATATTCTGAAGCGTGCTGGTCGCCATTGACTTGCAGTGTATTGTTTTCCTAAATGATGACAAGTGAACTGCTCCTTTAAAACAGCGCGTCACTCAGGCGAGCCTCTGATCCAATCAGCGCGTAGAATCTGAACTCATTAACATCTGTGAGCCTGCAGCACAGAAGCAGTGTTAAGTCGCTGGGGGATATTTGTAGCAATAGCCAACAATACATTGTATGGGTCACAATTATACATTTCTCTTTTATGCCAAAAATCATTAGGATATTAAGTAAAGATCGTGTTCCTTGAAGATATTTAGTCAATTCCGTACCTAAAACTTAATGTTTGATTGTAATATGCATTGCTAAGAACTTCATTTGAACAACTTTAAAGATGATTTTCTCAATATTTAGATTTTTTTGCACCCTCAGATTCCAGATTTTCAAATATTGTCCGATCCTAACAAACCATACATCAATGTTAAGCTCATTTATTCAGCTTTCAGCTGATGCATACATCTCAATTTCAAGAAATTGACCCTTGAGACTGCTTTTGTGGCCCGGGGTCACACATCTAATGTTACTGGAGAGCTCTGGTTGTTCTGGTTCGAGGGTGATGTGCTGAATGTAAACTGAAGCTGGAGGGGTTGTGTTGCTGTGTTTGTGTTCAGATGGCACCGAAGAAGGGCGAGAAGAAGAAGGGGCGCTCTGCCATCAACGAGGTGGTGACCCGCGAGTACACCATCAACGTCCACAAGCGCATCCACGGCATGTGAGTCCCTCCTGAGCGCTCCCCGCTCCTCTGTATCTGTCCTGCGCTGTAACACCTGTCCTCCTCCTGCAGCTCCTTCAAGTTCTCAGAAAATAAGTCAGAATTGAGAAAGTCAGTTGTGAGATTTTAACTCATAACTCTGAGAAACAAAGTCAATTCTGTCTGGTTTTGTTTTCTCAGTCGTGAGATATAAACTCAGAATTGCGTGTTATGAAGTCAGATACAGCCCTACTGGATAAATGCAATTACGAGTTGTAAAGTCAGAATTGCGAGATAGAAATTCACAATTGTGTGAAAAATGTCATAATTCTGAGAAAAAGTCAATTGTCTTTTTTTTCTCAATTGCGAGATATAAACTCAGAATTATAAGAAAACACTATGTATTTTTCTCTCTCAGATTTTGACTTTATAACTTGCAGGTGCGTGTTATAAAGTCAGAAGTGAAATTCTCAGAAAAGTCCGAATTGAGAGAAAAGGGTCAGTTGCAAGATATAAAAACTCACAATTGCAAGAAAAAAGTCAGAATTGTGAGATTTTAACTCGTAACTGAGAAAAAACATTTCCTAGTTCTGAGAAAGTCTATTGTCTTTATCTGAACTGTGAGATATAAACTCACAACTGCGTGTTATAAAGTCAGAATCTCAGGATATAAACATGCATTTGTGTATCATGAAGTCAGAATGGCAAGTTTATATCTCAGAAAAGGTGAGAATTGTGAGATGAATGTCGCAGTTTCCTTGTTTGGTTTAATTCAGTGGCGGAGAGGCTTCCACGCATTGGTCCTCACACTGTACGTGCATGTTAATGTTCCTCATGTTTAATCATATCTGACTCGTCAACCGTGTTTGTGTTAAAACATCTCTTCTGTTTTGTGTGTTGGCAGGTCTTCAGACTGTAAATGTGGATGAAAATTAAGTTTCTCTTCATGCTTGTTGGAATAAAAACATGAAAGGATTTTGTTGTGCATGATTTATTTCTGGTCAGATGAGTTTTGTGGCACGTGAGACGGTAGAGAATAAAATCAGCAGTACATGTAAACTCATCAGCAAATAACATGGTTTAAAGCGGCGCTCGTGCATTCATTCAGGCTTGAGCTGCGAGTATCTAACGCTCCATCTTCTGATGAGAGTCTGATAAACGCAGTACGACGGCTAGATTGGTCAGGACTCAACTCAGAAGCGGAAACTGAACGTGAACTCGCTCATATGGCTGATTGTGTTTAAGGCACTTTATCGATCTGAAATCAGGCGTTCACTTCTCATGAGTGATTAGGTGATGAAACTAGATCAGTATCTAGCACAGCTCAGCAACAAACCAGCTTTACTTGGCATGTTTTGAACGCTGTTGTTCCTCAGTATTTCTGTCGTGTCCCAGAGCAAACATCCTCAAATCATGACATTCGAGAAGATTCAAGATCCCGTTTTCTTTCAGATGTATCAAAATGAAGTGAGTTTTTGCATGAAACAAGAAAAACCACGAGGTTAACTGAAAGGAAGAACAAGATTTTTTTTTTCGGAACCCACTGGAAGAGATTCTTGTGTTAAGCTTAAACTCACTTTTTGATAAGACTTAAAGGGACAGTTCACCCAAAATTCACAATTCTCTGTGTGTGTGTGTGTGTGTGT